GGAGCAGTCGGAGCAGTTGCATTGCCAGGCCACAACGCTCGGCGGGGCCCGCACCCGCCACCTCACTCTCTTGCAGTGACATCCACCACTGTGGATCACAAGTTCAGAGTCCATTTGTTGCGATTAAATGGAGGGTTAGGCCCTACCTACACTTAATCAGAAGCATCATTAGAGCTATGTACAGATATAATCAAAACCCATTTGCAACAACAGCTGTTGTACAGATATAAATCAAACAATAATTCCTTAAGCTCATAATTAACCGACATAGAAGGAAACATCTTGATATTAATTGCAATTCAGCCCTAAAATATGAGGAGTCATAGTACCATTATTATGTCAATCATACCTTGCAAAGAGGCTATCTTTGAAACTCTGTGAGAATCAAAAAGTCGTTGGAAATGGAGGAGTGAATATTGCACTCTTATTTTACTTGGTAATAGAAGAAGCATACTTTTATCAAATTATAAATGGGGGCCCCGATTTTTAGGAAATTACAATGACGGTATTGACAAGGGAATAGTAGATGAAACTACGGCTCAGCGTGGAACTCGAAGAATTACGAACTATTTTGAAGACGAGACTGAAATCACCTTGAGCTAAAAAATAACAGTTGATCGTTTTTCTTTTCGCTGAACTGAAAAAATAATAGATATGATTCTGAAGATTTCACAAATATCTGCACAAGAATCGAACTGAACTGAAAAAATAATAGATATGATTCTGAAGATTTCACAAATATCTGCACAAGAATCGAACTAAAGCATCTCATAATATTAGATGTATGTTGTTCGCATGTTTTATATCATCTTTATTTATATTTAATTAGAGTATTTTTATAATACTAAATAATATATAGTAAAACACTTAAATTTCGCTTAAATTTTATTCTTAATAACACTTGATCTACAATCGGATTTTCTCTGTTTAATAAATTATTTAAAATGGATTAAAGAATTTTGTTTGTAAAAAAAATATTTTGAAATTTATTTTAACTTCGCTTAAATTTGTTGATATTTTTTCTTAGTCTTGTTCTATTAAAGGTTAAAGAAACATTATTAAAAAAATTATATTATATTTTGTCTGAATTTTAAATTTTAATTATTAGTTGCACAAATTTAGTCTTAACTAAAATTTTGAGTTACTTGTTGTCACGCAAATTATGCAACAACAAGTTCAGGGTAACCTTTAAGTTTAAACAGTGTTTAATTAAAAATTATAGTGTGAATAAGGATATTAGTGTAGATAAAACAAGATAAACATGCTTTAATTAATATGGAATGAGGTCGGACCGCCTCAGATATATATATATATATATATATATATATATATATAGCAGCTCAGAATGTC